AGACATTTTGTAGATTTGGTTAACATCTACAGTCAGTCAACATTAGTAGAAGAGATTACCCTCAATAATGCAGAAAAGTTTCACCCAATCAGTTGCAAGTCTTAAGAGGAAAAATTGAGGTTTCTTTGAGAAGAAGAGATTCTTCCTCAATATTGTAGTATCAGCTCCTGCCTGAGTTTCCAGCCTGCCCAAATGCCTCTACACATTGGACTGGCCAGCCTCCACCCCTCACAATCCCACAATTATGTAGCCAATTCTCTTTCTCTCTCTGTGTGTTTGTATATCTGTGTCTGTGTCTGTGTCTCTGCACAACAGTGTGTGACACCTAGTGATTCTGTAATTCTGGAGAACCCTGACTGATACAAAATTTGGTCCCAAGAGCAGTGTTTCTAGAAGAACAGAATCTTATAAATGAATTTTTCCTAATTTGTTCTGTGAATTCTGGAACTGGTTCTCATTCTGATTAAACGTAAAGGTACTAATGACTACGCTTCCAGTGGTAAAGAGAGCACTGATTAGAGAGAGGCAGATGGAGAGTTACAGGGATATATCCTATTCATTCTGTTTTTCTGGAGAACTCTGACTTGATGCAGTGGCCTAATATCAAGATTGCAATCAAGATTTGTTGGGATGGAAAAATGAATAAAATGATGCAGGCAGACCCAGTTGCCTTTGATAGGCCTTCCACATCCTCCTCCAGACTCTATAATCTGAGATACTAAAACCCTATGGAGAAAGCCTTACAGAAAAGAAGTTTCAGAGAAGAACAATGAGGAAATTCCATTAAAGACAGTGTCATGTGGATTATCAAAAATGAATAAGTATACCGTTCTCTTCCAGACTCTCACCACCTAATATGCTTTCCTCATTCACCATCTTCAATTCCAAACTTATGCAGAAATGCACCAACCAGAGATCAAACTTTAACTCATCTTTGTTCTTTTACTCAAAGGAATATAATCTAACCAGAAAAACTGAGACCTCTGAAGAATAAAACTTCTACAGAAGAAAGACAACAAACTGAGCAAAAATGAAAGGTGAAGAAAATCAATGAACGAGTAAGAATAAGAAGTTAAAATAAGTAAACAAAATATCCTCAAAAAGATCAGAAAAGTTATAATAACATGAAACAAGGTCAGATCTTTGTAAAAAGGGATAAAGTATTATATATAAAACACATAATAGCTGAAATGTAAATATCAAATATGAATTTAGTAGCAGAAAAAGCAAGTTACTAAGTTAAAAGATAGGGTCAAGAAATTCTCCTAGTGACTATCAGAAATAGTTAAAGATAAATAATATTTTAAAAAGGGTTAAGGATATAAATGATAGAAGTATAAGAAGAAAAAATATAAATGATAGAAGTATAAGAAGAAAAAATATAAAAGAGAAAGTATTTTAATTAATAAAAACTGGTGATTTCTAAGAATTAAAGAAAGATTAAAACTTCAAAAAGATTCTCATACACATTCACAAATCTAGATAAATTATAATGAAATTCAGAAATATCTAAAGTAATACGACAATTCTCCAGGTTCCCAGAGAGAGTGGATGTGCCTTAAAACAAGCATCAGACTGACATAGCAAATAATTGACACTGTCAGCAAGAAAGCAGTGTTACATTATTTTCAAATTACTGGAGACAAATAATTCAAATAAATTAATGCCATAATTTTATACTAGCAAATTCTCATTTAAAGAAACACAGAAAATAAAAATGTTTTCTAACACAAAATCTCAAGGTTTTAAAATAAAAGAACATACTTGATATTCTACATGAAATTCTACAGGAAATAGTCAGGAGGGGCAGAAATAAATCCAAGAGGATGTTGAGACATAAATGGTATGTAAGGGTGAGTAATTAACTTACTGAACTGACTACTATCTATATACAGTAAACAAAAAATATTCAAAAGAACACATACCTAAACTCAAAATAATACCAAATGTATGGTTTTGGGTATTGGGATAGAGAATGAGCAATCAGAAAATAAATTCATGCCAGGTTTATAGAGAAGAAAGAAAATTTTATGATGTCAAGAAAGTGATAGCAAAACTTTAAATGACCTTGATTAATTAGACACCAAGTGAAGCACACACACAAAAAAAAGAGGAATTTATAAATTCTGCATACCTGCAAAAGAAAATTGTATCTATTCAGTTATTTGAAATGAGAGGGAAATGGATTTTAAAAGCTTGATAGTAGAGACACCTGGGTGGCTCAACCACATAGGCCTCTGACTCTTGGTTTAGGCTCAGGTCATAATCTCAAGGGTCCTTGTCTCAAAGCCCTGTTTTGAGCTCCACACTCTTCGGGGAGTCTGGCTGGGATGCTTGCTCTCTGCCCCTCCCCCGCTCTCTCTCTCTCTCCCCCTCTCTTTAACATAAATAAATCTTTTTAAAAAAATCTTGATACTAAAGGAATGGAAGAAGACATGCAAGGAGAAATTAACCAAAGGAAGGCAAAGGTAGAAGTTTTACTATTAAACCATCATAAAAAGACCTATAATATAAAGAATCCTTAAATATAAAGCTTCTGTAAATAAACAGTGGAGAAATTTTTGGGACCTTCACTTGTGTAAACTGTAAAAGTTTTCTTACAGGCCACAAAAATCATGAATCATTAAAGTAAAAAGAGTATATAAAGAATTTTTATATTCAGAGTATATAAAGAATTCTTGCATTTCTCTAATAAAGAGACAGATCCAATCAAAATACATGGGGCAAAATCTTTAATGGACTTACCAAAAAAGAATATATAAAAATATCCAGTAAGCACATGAAGTACGTGCAACATCATTAGAAATCAGGGAAATCAATTAAACCACAAAGAGATGTTACTTCAGACCTAGTAAAATGGATAAAATTAAAAAGATTGACAACACCAACTGTTGGCAAGGATTTGGAGCAACCAGACTTTTAAACCACTATAATCCATACCACTTTGTAAAACTCTAGCAGCTAAACATCTATTATATGACCAAGCAGCTTCACTCCCGGATACTTATACAAGAGAAAAGAACGTATGAATCAGAAAACCTCAAAAGGATGTTAACAGCTGCCTTATTCATATTTCCGCAAACTGAAAGCAGACCAAATAAATGTCAACAGGAGAATGGATAAGTAATTTGTAGCATATTCATTTAATAGACAATAAAGGAGGCAGGTTACTACTTCGTGCAACAATATAGATGATTCTCAAAAATATTACCTTGAGTAACAAGACAGATATTTTAACAAACTGTGTGATATCCCTTTGTGTGTCAACTGCCTCTAGTGACAATTCCCAGTAAGGCAGAAGCAACTTCATCAGACAGGGAGCAGTTGCCTCTGTTGGCAAGAAAGGCTCACCAGACTTTTGACTGCAGATACTAAGAAATATCTGAATCTACTGAAACTTCTCAATTCACTTCGTACAATCCTGCTCTTTTTCCATAGACACCCTAAACTTAAATAAGACATTTAGGGAGGCTATGAATTCAACTTCCTTTGGAATTCAGCAACCCCGAGGATTAGACTCTTGTTTCTGGTGCTTCATGTTAACATAAGCCTTCAAGGATAAGATTCTATCACTGGGGATAGAAAATTTCTCATCTTCTGATAATTCAATGAGAAGAGATTTTTAAAGCTTTAAGCTTGTCATTTTTTTTTCTAAGTCTTCTAAAGGAGCTAAAAATATCCAGCCTATCCAATACACAGTCTTCATATTACTTAACAAACTCTTAATTCTAGATGATTCCAACCAGTAATATAAGTAAGTCATTCATAGCTGTGTACCATAAACAACCATTGCATCACTCGCTGATCGTAAATTCCAGAATCTAGAAGGATATTTACTATTGCAAAACCCTACCGGATTGGTTTAGCCATTTCAGCCCTCTATTTTCTTGAGACTTTCTGACCTCCAACATCTCCAGGTAATGTTTACTCTATGAGTCTGCTTTTAGTACAAGAAAGAAGATCCATTCTAAGCTATTTAAACAAAAAGGGATTTATTGCAGGGTATTAAGTGGCTTAGAACATTTTTGGAAGGGCTGATGAGAACTGAGTCTGAGCTGGTAGGAGTGAGCCAAAAGCCACCTCAAAGAATTAGACCTCCAAATGCTACTCTGGCCACGATCAGGTGGCTGCTTGTCAAACTGGAAAGCTGCCATAATATACCCTCTGCTACAAAGTGCGTTTCCATTACACAAATTAGCTTATATGCGAGTGTTCAATTAGGTAATAAGAAAAGTATAGTATAAACATTGCATTGGTTTATAAGTATTTTTCCCAGTTTATTAATCTTTCATACCAAATAACATCTGAAGGCCGAGTACACTAATACAGTCTGTGCAGCAAGCACCAATAGGTGGCACTCTCTCCCTGAACATACTCTTCACCCCACCTTCTTTCTTCTGGGCTCAGTTGGCCAGGTGTTCTTGGAAGGCCTTAACGTATAATTTTCTCCTGTCTGTGTATGTTGCCCTGACTTCAATAACGCAGCATAACACAAAGAATCTGAAGAACACATAGTCACCTTCTATCAGAAAATTCTGTTCAATAGCCTCTGTCAGAAGCCACGTTATTAAAATGAATGTCATTAGACCCGTCATTCTATTCATTTTTTTCAATGACACTTCTGATTGCTGGAACCTGAATCATGTTCAGAGCATGAGAAGTAAGAGAGCTGAGCTAAAGTCATTTTAGCTTTTTTTTTTTTCCCCCCACATACTAGAAAGCAGGGGAATGGTGCTGAACCAACCAACCTAAAATATCTATCAAAGAGGGGGCTGTTGCCAGCTGGAACCAAAGAAATACAGAAAGTCATAAGGAAATAACTTACCTGCCCCCCCAAAAAAATCCCCTAAAATCTTCACAATAAAATGAGCAGGAAAATCTGCATTTGCCTCACTAAAGAATCTGATGCCATATTACTACAATATTGGTTATTTTTAAATCTTTTCTGGCCTATTCCTTCTCCACAGCTTCCTTCAATCCTGAAAGAGCCCTTAAATCCAACAAACAAAGGTAGTTAGCAAGTAAGAGAAACTGGGCAAGAAAGAGAGATGTCAAACCAACTCCTTATACTGCAGACTTCTAAGTTCAAGGTGGTGTTTCTCTACTAAGGAAGGAGAAGATTTCAATTATATAAAGGGTTAAGTTTGCTGTTTTGGTATCTCATGTTAACCAAAAGAAGTGTGGGATATATCTGATACTTCAACCAGAGCCAGGAGAAAGGTTTCTACATATGGAAATCAGAAGACCTAGAGTGAGGGGAAAACATATCTTTTGCTTATACCCTAATGTTTACATCTCATTCAATAAATCTCTTAACTTACCTTAGATGATATTTATCTTAATGACAGAGTGTTTTCAATTCTTCACTTTTCTGTAATACAATTATGCCACTATGGCCATGATATAGCTTCCTTATGGGTACAGTCTACTTGCCTTCATCTTGACATTGGACTTGAGCATGGAATTTCTTTGGTCAATGGGATGTTAGTAGAAGATATACAACTAGAGACTTGAAATGTGGTTGTGGAGTTTGGCTACCTTTCTAACACTGGTGATGAACCATGAAGAAAATGCCTTTAGCAACCCATTTTCTTTCAAGCGGGATCACAGAACAGGATACACAGTGATAGCCACATGCACTGGGTAATTGCTGGAGCCAGAAGACTGAGCATCATGAGGAACAGACCTGAACCCAGTCTGTCTGGAGTTGGGATCCTGAAGCCTAGCTTCTGGTATACAGCCCTACCCAGACTCAATGTTGTCAATCCATGACTCATGCATATGAAAATTATTTTTTCTATCTTTAAACCATGGAGTAGTTTGTTATATAGCATTGTTGTAATAATAGCTGACTGATGCACATCAGTATTTTAATTAAATAATTTCATCTCTCACCATAATACATTGTTATGACTCATCTACTTTATAAAATTAACGTAATGTATTTGGGTAAGGAGCTGATGTTAAAATCACTGTGAGAGAAATAATCAGAAAATAACTTTTCATAAGTAAAAATGAGAGTAAGATTTTAGCACAACTGACAAAAAATATATTTTCTAACCTTGCACAAATTTTTCTTGCTTTTGCAGAGTATCTCATTTTTGTTAGTTTGAAGACCAAGTGTAAATGTCTTCACATATAGAAAAATATCTGAACTAATAGCAGTAAATTTATAGGCAGATTTATTGCTCACTGGGATGAATATTACCAAAAACAGTCTTTAACTAGAACTCATATTACTTATGCCAATCATCAAAAATATTTATGAAATAAAAATATATGCAAATTTCACATATAAGCTAAATTTCCTATATTTTTTGATCTGTTATTACAATGCTGAGAAATTCTTATTTTAATAATCATTCCTTTTACAGAGATAGGAAGACTGAGGTTAAATTTTTTGCTAAAAAATGTTAGTAAACAAAGTTTGTTTACTACTTGAATCAAATATGCTCTTAATATGTTTAATAGATAAAATTGAAAACATTTAAAGATTTTAAAACTGTTAATATTATCTTCCCCTCACCACTTTAAAACTAGCTATTTCAGCCACTTCCTAAACATCAGTACTCCACATGTGTCAAGGTGATGATGGGTAAAATGTAACCTAAAATTTCTATCAGAGAAGTTCTTAGAAAAATCCTTCAACGTAATAATACAATGGCTATCTTTTTTTTAAACATATAATGTATTATTTATTTCAGGGGTACAGGTCTGTGAATCATCAGTCTTACACAATTCACAGCGCTCACCATAGCACATACCCTCCCCAATGTCCATCACCCAGCCACCCTATCTTCCCCTCCCCACCCCTCCAGCAACCCTCAATTTGTTTCCAGAGATCATGAGTTTCTTATGGTTTGTCTCCCTCTCTGGTTTCGTTCTGGTTCATTTTTCCCTCCTTTCCCCCACGACACCCCCTTCCACCTCTCAAATTCCTCATATCAGTGAGATTATATGATAATTCTTTCTCTGATTGACTTATTTCACTTAGCATAATACTCTGCAATGACTATCTTTTTAAAATAAAAAACAACAAAACAGCCTAGAAAAATTAGTTCCTTCAAGAACATGAATGTTCTCTACTGTAAAGAAAATATTTTAAGGAAATTAATGCCGCTAACGCCTTTACTGCTGTCAATGAAACTGACCCAGGTGATCTAAAGAGAAAAAAATATTTAACTCAGAAATTTATAAGCAAGTCATAAAGCCTAACAGGCAAATGGCTCCATATAATAAGAGCAAAGTAAGAGCAAAGGGACACAAGAATGGCAAGTTTTGTAGGACCAGTGTAACTGGTGTGTGTGATCTGAAAATAGTGAGGTCCTTTCCCTTTGAGATGTAACTGCAGCCCTGTCATGCTCTAGTACTCCGCAAGGCAGTAGAATGATTGGAGCTAATATTGACTTGGACAGTTCTAGGGAGTCTCTATTTAGCAACAGCTGTATGACTAACACAAACCTAATATCGTACAACCAGATAGACAATGAAACAACACATGATCTTTTGGTCATGGGGCGCTTGTTAGATAAAAGCATCTATGTTGTTCATTTGAGTGCAGCCAGCAATTATTTATTAGATTAACAATAAAGGGCTAGAGTAGAAACTACACAACATGTGATTGTAATAATCTTCCTTTCGAGCCTACACAGATGTGTTAGTGTGGAGCATCCATCCATAGGTTAAAAGCCCATTTCTATTTCTTTGTGAGGTGGTGTATCAGTGCTTAGGATGAAAGAATTTAGGAACTAAAGGTCTGAGTGCAATTCTCCGCTTAGCTACTTACTACTGATCTGACCTAAGACAAATATCAACTTCCCCAGTCATAAAAGGAGAGAAACAATGTACTTTATTCAAGAGTGCTTTGCCATATGTCAACTAATAAATGTTAAGCCCTTCACAGAGTAACTCAGATGTGGTAAGTTCTTGAATATAGTTTTTCTTCTCTTTTCATTTTCAGTGCTATCATTAATCCATTTTCTTATGCTTTTTCTTAGTATTTGAAGTTTTTCTCACTTCATGTTTTAGACCACTTAATTAGAACACATAGCTGATGTGCTCAGAAAAAAACATGAGATAGTCAGAAATGATGACAAGAGGAGAGAGAGAGAAGGAGAAGTGAATAAAGAACATCAGTGTAAGAGCTGTTAAGGTTTTTGTTGTGTTCAGATTTGCACTGATGTAGTAGTTTAACAAGTCCAGAAATCAATCAGTGCAATTCTCTCATTAAAACCCAATAAAACATGTCTTGTTCTTCCTGCCACATACAGAAGAAAACCACCATTATTGCCTGATGTAGATCAGTGGCTCTAAACTACATAACAACTATTTTCTAAACTTATTTTATTGCCAAAAGACATTTATAGAAAACATAACCTAAAACCACACACTAGAATAATTCCAAAGTCACATGTTATTGATGCAAAATCATACGTTATATTGATTCAGGAGAATCAAAGTAATGCTTTAACTATAAAGGAAAGAAAACCTGATGTTCAGTAAAATAATTGGCTACAATGTTGGCTACTAATGAAGTACTTACATTTTTGTACCTCCTTACAGCACAATTGGTGCAGGGAAATAGAAGAACATGGGTGTGTGTGGACACTAAAATAAGGACTTTGTTAGGCTGACTAATAGTTGCTCTTTGTTGGTAAGAAAATAAGTAATAGTAATAACTAAAACTACAGACCAGTCATGTCCAATATGGTAACCAATAGCCCTGAGTGGCTATGGAGCCCTTGAAATATGGGTCGGTGCTACTGAAGAACTGAATTTTAATGTTATTTATTTAAATTAGACTTATATTAAAAGCTAAATCAGCATTAAGTACCTCCATAATGTTTACATTGATTATGGGTTGAAATAATAATTGGGAGATATAATATATTAAGTATATAATTAAAATTAGATTCCCCGGGGTTTGTTATTTTTTACTTCTTAAAATATGGTCACTAAAACTTTTTAAATCTATATTGCTCACATTTGTGGCTTGCATTATATTTCTATGGCACAGTGCCGCTATACAAACTGAATGGTAAACCCTTGAGGGTAGCAGCAGGATAAAATGAACAGTTAGGAATCTTCCTAATTTGTTTCAACATGTAATCTCTATAACCAAGATACAACATTTCAATAATTAATTTCTACAACCTAAATTTATTTCTGCATTACAAAAATTAAATTACATATATATAATTTTAAAACAATCTTTATTAATGAAATTCAGTGAGAACCTTGAATTTTATCTATACTATTGAAGTTCAAAGTATGTTAAAAGGAATCTCATGTTTCCTCCGTTCTATAGACACATTGGTGGTAACACTTTCGCCAGAATTTTTCCAAAATTACACTACAGACCTGTCAGCTGTCAAAATGTTACTGGAAATCTAGAGAAATTTGCTTCCAAAGAAGTGTATAGGAGTCTTAGCAATATCCACAATTTTTCCTAAGTAGATTGATTAAAGAGTCCTTTGGCCCCAACATTAGATTTCAGTTCAGTTAAAAAATTCTGAAAATTTTGGCTACATGTTCTTCATGTTAACTACTCAATCCAGTTTTATAAATTAAAAAAAATTCTTAAAAAATCTAATCATCCTCTCTTTAGTAGCCATTCAAATGAAAGCAACTTACTTGCATCTATCTAACTTCTGCAAAGATAAAAGCTGTAAAATGTTTGGTGCAAAAAATAGTTTTAAATAATACATGTTTGTTGACAAATCTTATAATTCTGTACACTATGAAATTGATCTTAAATTCTAGGATCCCATAAAAGATCCCATTTAACTTTGCAAATATATAAATACATCTGCAAGAAAAGTCATCATTTTGAGATATGTGAATTGTAATGCCCAATTTTTTGTTTAATGAATCAAAAAATCTTTATTTTAAATAAGAAAAAAATTAACACTGTATACTGAAAAGTCACCTTACTTCCTAGTACAAACTCTATTATCTATTGCAGCTTACTCCTAATTTTATTATTAACACTGAATACATTTACTAACTTTGAAGTATTTCTTCAGCACCCCTGATATCAGTAAAAAACACAAAGAATTATGAAAGCACCTTCAGCCATTAATGTCAACTT